GTCTCCCACATGAGTGACAGAGACCCTCACTGCTTTCCCAGGTGCATTTGCAAAGAGCACAGAAATGAAGCAGCCAGGACTCAAACTGGCACTCACATGGGATCCTGGTATTGCAGATGACAGCTTTAGTTTTTTCTAAGATTTATTTACTTTTATCTGAAAGGCAGATTTACAGAGAAAAGGAGAGGCAGAGAAATCTTCCTTCTGCTGGTTCACTCCCCCAAATGGCTACAATAGCCAGAACTGAGCCAATCCAAAGCCAGGAGCCAGGAGCTTCATTCAGATCTCACATACGGATGCAGGGACCCAAGGACCTGAGCCCTTCTCTGCCACTTTCCCAGGCCCCAAGCAAGGAGCTGGATGGGAAGTGGAGCAGCCGAGACAGGAACTGGCGCCCATGTGAGAAACTGACACCTGCAAGTAGAGGATCAGTCTGTTGAACCATGGCACCAGCCCCATGGTTAGAACCGGGTGGCAGTTCTAACCTGCTGCACCACAACATCCTAAAATAAACATACATACAATGTCCCAAGTCCATGGGGCTGGAACAGGCTCTACTGCAGAAAGAGGGCCCACTTTCCCTGCTTATTGGCATAAAGAAAAATCACTCTGGATGTCTACCCCCTTAAGAACCGCAGGCAGAGCCAGTGCTGGCCTGAGTACCAAGGAGTGTGCAGCCCATAGAGGAGGGCAGAGAAGTCCCCAACAGGCACCTGCCAGCTTGCAGGGGTGAGGACAGGGAGCGTGGCACGCGGTGAAGGAGCTGTTTTCTGTGCCTCTTGGAGCCCCCGCTCCCTTGGGGATACTTCCTGTGCCCACACAGCAGCCCAATGAGCCTGAGACCTAGCGCTCTGCTTGGCTCCTGGGACCCCCAGGGTACCCCTGGAGTCCTGACCCAGCCCCTCAGTGCGAGCCAAGGCCTTGCCCTGAGTGTGCGTGCGCCTGCCGGTTTGTTTTCCTTTGTGTTTCACGCAAAGAAAACAAACCCAAGTCCATCACTGCCTACATTTCAACATCTCTGAGAGCTCTGCAAGCCGGTAATTCCCCTGCCCAGGAAAGATTTCCGGTTGAACTTCATGGCCATGGCCAGAGGCAGCTGTCACTGCTGAGGGCAGAGGAAGGAGCCAAGTCCACTAGGAAGGGAGGCACCAGGAGCCTTAAGAGGCTTGGCCAGAGGCTTGGCCAAGCTGTTCCCCCTGCCCCCCAGCAGGGGACAGGATCTCAGGAGTCAGGGCCCCAGGTTGGGAGGGGAAGAGGGCTCTCAAAGGACAAGGAGACCAGTCGGGTGGAAGGGAAGTGAGCGGGGCAGGTAGCTGCTGCCTGTGTTGGGCCCAGCTGCAGGCATTCAAAGGGACATGGAGCCAACTGCCACAGCACAAGGACTTGTTGGCTGAGTCCTTCTCAGAGCATGTGGCTGGGAGCTGGGATCCATCTTCACACCCAGGGGTTTGCCATGAACAGCCAAGCAAGTGCCAAAGGCAGCTCAGTGATGGCTACTCTTTCCCCCCTGCTACGGCGTGTGAAAGCCCTAGCACCAGGCCACCATCTGGGCATGAACACTGGATCCAGAGGGAGGCCTAGCCTCTTCCAGCTTTCTAGCCACCCCAGGATGAGCCAGTGTAGGGCAGCAGGTGAAGACAGCCCCAGAGAGGCCTGACGTCCTGTGCTGGGGCATGGGGTTCCTCCCTTACCCTGGGCCTCCCTGCCCCGTGCCTGTGTGCACCTGCCACAGTGCAAGGTGGATCTCCATGTTCCTGGCTTTTCCCCCAGCTGATTGGGGTCCCCAGGGTCTCCTGAGGGCCAGGTGGAGTGCCCTGAGGAAGGTTCCCATTACCTGGAACACCCAGGATGGGTGTCCAAATACCCCCCACTCCCCTGCTACCACCCATCACACCGCTGTGTGTCTCTCTCCTGCAGTGTCTTGGAGAAGAAGGGGTGGAGATGGGTGGCACCCAGGGTGGCGGGGGTAGCCTTCCCGCCTCTCCAAGTCAGGCATGCTGGCAGCTCCCCCAGAGCTCTGGGTCAAGCCAGGAACAGTCTGTCCTCGGGCCCGGGAGCCCTGCTGACGCCTCCCCCCCGCCTCCCCCACATGGATCCCCAGGCAGGATTCCCAGAAGAGGTGGGGAGGCAGTTCACAGGGCCCCAGCCCAACACACACACACACTCCACCCTTGCACTCACACATAACACAACTACACACACTAACACATACAAGCACACTAGCTCAGTCACAAACCCTCACACTCACAGGTACTGACACAATCATACAACCACACACACATCTATCCTTGTATTCACGACACCACACACAAAGCACACACATCCAACCCTGTACTCACAACCACACATACCAAGCAGACACATCCACCCCTGCATTCACATGTACTAGTGCACACACACACACATACTCACACACACACTCACACACCCTGTACTGGGCCTCAGCCGGTACTCCCTCTGGAGGGCGAGGAAACTCAATCCCAGAAGTGAAGCAGATTTGCGGGGACCTGTCACAACTTGTGGACCCCAGGGAGGCGGGAGGGGCCAAGCCCTGGGCCGCTGGCCAGCCCAGCAGGGACACACTGGAAGATGCTCCCATTCAGTGCAGCATGGGGTGGGCACTGCCCTGGGGCCCTGGGGAGAGGCATGGCTGTCCCCTAGGGCAGTGCGCCTGGGTGGCAGAGGCCACATCAGAGCTTTGTCTCAGGGCATTGCAGGAGCAGGGCTGGGAGCCTGTCATACTGAAGCTGGCAAAATGACAGCAACAGCTGCAGCAGGGAGCTGGGAACTGGGTCCCTGGCCCCTGGCTCACCTCTTCCCGTGTGTCTATGCTGGGGAGGAGACAAGTAACTGTATGTGCACGTGTGCGATGTGTGTGCCTGTATCCGTGTCTCCAACTCCTCTTAAACCCAGCACCCTGCAGTCCTGCTCCCCGCCTCACAGGATGTTCAGGTCCCATCTCATGTCCCCCATGCCCGAGACAGGGGGCTGGATACAGAAGAAAGCAGTACATGAGCATCAGAACAGCACCCACCAAGCCCTCTGCCGCTCCAGCCACTGGGCTGTGTGTATTATCTGATCACTGATGGAAGCCAGGCCTGGCCCACACACATCACCCCAAACTTCCTTCCACCTGCATCCCTCAAAACTTCCCAGGGGCAGGCCTGCTTCTGTGAGAGACAGGTGTCCAAGCAAGCCGACCAGGCCAGCGCCTGGGCTCTGTCTCCCTGGGCAGCCCTGGGCGAACAGCCTCCTGCCCACACAGCTCAGCTGAGGCCAGGAGGTGAAATAGGTCCGTCCTGGGCTGGGAGCTAGGCAGCACTTCTTATTTCAGCTCTGCTGGCTGCTGCCTCCTAACATCTCCAGCCCCAGCCCCTACAGCCTACGGGTGGTCTGGCGTCCCCGTCCTGCCTGCTAGGTCCAGGACCATGGTGTCAGCTGCAGCCCCTACCATCAGGCATGGGGTCACATGGGCTGGACCCTGAGCCACAGCTGTCACGTTAAGCTTCCTTCTCCTTGTGAAGTGGGAAGGTTTACTTACCTGTCCACTATAGGAGGGCCAGTGTGGACAGGAAAGGGGACAGGGTGGCCAAGTATGAGCACAGGGCCCTGCTCCAGAACCCTTAGCTACTAGGGGCACCTGAGCCCAGGCTGCCTCTGAAAGGGGAACCTGTCACTCCCCAGCCCCTGGAGCTTCCCTCCCCACACACCCCTACCCTCCACTTGTACCCCCTACCCATAGGCCATGCCCCTCCCCTGCCCAGGCACCTCATCCTGTCCACCCAGTTCTGACGGGGCTTCTTCCTCTGTTTCCCTGGTGCGGGATCCTTGCCCAGCGTGTAACTGATCTTTCCCTGGGAACGTGACCCCAGCCTGGTACAGCTATGGGAGCAAGCTCCTCTCGTTTGTACCTGCCGCCCCCTGGTGGTTATGTGAGAAAACTGCAACTTGCTACCGGTGGACGCACCTGTATGGGAGAGGAGTCGCTCAACAGTCGTGTGCAGAGTCGTATTTGACATGCTTTGTGGTCTGTCACGTCGTCCTCCTCACTGTTCCCTGTTGGCGCATTCATCTGGCTGTGGTCCTTTATTGGATAACTCATTTCATAACTCTTTTGAAGCACTGTTTTTAAAAGTCATTTTTTTTTTCTCCTCTTAATCACATTTCTACCAGCTTGGTAGAAGTGTCGCTCCAGGTGATGGTGGCCCAGGCTCCGCTCTCCCTTCCATCCCAGTCGGGGAGCCTCATCCAGAGCCAAGGCGGCTGTCGTCTGCTCAATGCCAAGGTGGTGTTTCTGATTCTGAGACGGGGGGCTCCTCCCTACATCCAGCCCTAACTCTCACAAGACAAGCTCCGGAGCCAAGCCAAGCATACAGAGGTCCCAGCTGCCTCTGCCCCGCCTCACACGCAGGCTGTAGGTTCCACACAGGGTCGGGACAGCCAGGAAGGTTAGAGGCCACAGCACCGCCCAGCCCTCAGAGCAGCAGCCTGAAGACTGTTCCAGAAAGAGAGGCTGCAGTTCACTTTGGTTTCTGTCAGAGAAGAGCTAGTCTGGGTGCCATAGAGAGAGAAAAGCTGGATTCAGATCTCAGTGCTGCAATTCAAGAGGGTGGCAGGTGCATCTGCCCAGCCCTGGTGAGGGTCAGCTGGGTCAGCACGTGGCTTGCCACATCAGATGAGAAATTGAGCGATTCAGGGGTCAGCGGTCAGAGGTCAGGTTGACTTGGCTTCTTCACGCACTCTGGGACAGCATCTTAGTTCTCCTGAGGGCCATGTCTTCCAGCAGGTGCTGCCTCTTAAAGGGCCCAGCATCTCTCACGGCTGTTGCTGCCGGGGACATCACGGCCTAGCCACAGCAGGAACTAACCACGGGGGAAGACGGCACCACACACAACTGATTTTACTTTACTTTTGAAATAGAAGATAGAAAAGGTGCTGCTAAAAACCTTATGTAATATGAGCTCCATCAAATGTAAAGATTTCAGCTGGCACTGTGATGTAGCAGGCAAAGCTGGTGACGCCAGCACCCCATGTGGGCACTGTTCCAAGAGCTGGCTGATCCAGCTCCTTGTCAACGGCCTGAAAAGGCAGCAGAAGACAGCCTAAAGTGCTCAGTTTGCTGCACCCATGTGGGAGACCTGGAAGAGGCTCCAGGCTCCTGACTTCAGCCTGGTCTAGCTCCAGCATGGCAGCCATTAGAGGAGTGAACCAGTGGACGCAAGATCTTTCTCTCTCTCTCCATCTCTCTTTCTGTAACTCTTTCAAATAAACAAAACATGTCTTTTTTTAAAAAAAAAATCAAAACCATAGTGAGATATCAGTCCGCATCTGCCAGGATGCATAGGATAAAAAGATAATAGCAAGAGCTGGTGTGGATGTGGAGAAATTGGAATCCTCACACGTAGGTGGCAAAAAATGGCTTGACAATTTTTAAAAATTAAGTATACCATTTGATCCAGAAATTCTTACACCATTTGTAAAGTGGTGCAATAGCATTTGCAGGCGGTCTGTGATATGTTGAATACTACAGTATCCCCTGCAGAGATCACGGAAAATGTATTAACAGTGGAGATAAAAATGTAGCTGCTTTGGAAACAAGGATCAATCCAACGATGCAAAAAGAATGAAAGGCAGACAGGATACATAGAAGACAAATAGCAATACGATGGATTTAAGTTGAACCATGTTGATTACTACATGAATGGTCTAGGGTACCGTAGGGTTCACAGCTAACACCCTGCCCCTAGCAGCGCCTGGTTTGGGGTTATACCAAGCTCTGTCAGCTGAGGGCGCTGGATTCTTTAGCCTTCACTCCTTTCTTCCCTTTAGCAAGTTATCAAAGCCATTGGGATGCAATACTTTTCCTTACACTTCCCCATGTTGTTCCAGCCTCCTGTCTAGACCCTGAATGTCTAGAACTGATACCAGGAATGGCCGTGGTGTCCAGAAATAAGTCCACCATGATGGAATCTGGAGATGTGGCTGTGCCCTTGGAGGATTCCCAGCCAGGGGGAATAGTGTGTGAGGCAACCTGTGGCACACAGCAACTTCACAACCAGCCGAGTTGAAGTTGGAGCCCTCGGAGGCCCAGTGGCGGCATCTCAGGGACACTAGAATGGCAGGGCGACCGAGAAGACGGGATGGACACATCGTATGTCAGAGTCAAACCTGAAAGTGCCACACAGCCGTAAGAGACTCTCATTTCTCATATCACTGAAAAAGACGTGTGAGTCTGGAGAGTCCGGAGTCATGGCATTTTTTGAATTTGTAATTTATCAGTTTCCATGCAACTGGACATGCATGCGTAAAAAGAACGGTATCCTGATATTTGGAACAAGCCCTCGGGTCCCTCTCTTCCCCTTATCCAGTGTTAATGCTCTCCTGGGTGCAGCAATAGACTTCTTGGCTCAGAAACATGGCGACAGCCTCTTGGGGGATGGATCTACCCCAACCAGAAGTGCAATCCCTCCTCTAAGAGCTTCCTGCTGAACCACCAGGTGCCCCACAGCCCAGCCAGCCCTGCCCTCCCTGCGAATCCAGCAGCACAGAGAGCTAGTCACATGCTGTGCCCAACAGACAGCAAAACTCAATAAATAAAGGCTGGCTCTGAACATTTCAATACCACACACACAACTTATAGAAAATAGCATCTATTATCAAATCTAAGGTGAACACATGTGACCATTCCAGAAATATTGTGTAGGTACTGCCAGTGGATTTGTTTGATTCAACACATTCCCATGGACTGGGGCCAGCTCACATAAGTTTTTTCCCAAATTCGACAGCTTCCACCCCACCAAACCCTCCTCAAAGACAGCAGCAGATCAACGGGATTCACAGTACTGAGGACGGGCCTCGGCCATGGGGTTGGCTAAGGGGAAGGGAATTCTTCACCAACACCCTGAGTTGTATTTCAAAAGCAAAGCTCTGGGACCCCATGGCTCCAGACCCACAGAGCGATGTCACAGCTTCATTTCCAGGCAGTCCCAGCTGGAAACGGCCATTTTGGAGGAATTTCAGTCATGTCACAGCAGTGGGCTGTCGCCTATGGAGGTGACCAGGTGGGCACCTTGGCCCCCATGCTAAGCCATCACCTCCGCTGGGGCCCAAGGCACAGGTGAGCAGGCAGGTGACACAATATCCTGGATGGATGCCCCCTAAAACAGAGGAGGGGCGGATGCTGGAGGATGTCGGGAGCCATGAGTGGTGGCCTGCGACCAGTGGAAAGATTGCAGACAGCCCTTCCGGACACGGGCACATCTGCCTGTGAGCCGACACACCCTGGTGCCTGTGTCGGGTGCCGGAGGCTGATGATTAGCTCAGCTGGCCGCAGTCCGAGATGACAATCTTCTTGGATGTCTTGCCACTCCTGGAGCCCAGAGCCTCAATCTTCTTTACCACTTCCATACCCTCCTTGACGTGGCCAAACACCACGTGCTTGCCGTCCAGCCTGTGAACACGGGAGAGTCGGGTGAGCAGGCCCCAATTGGGGGACAGCATCACCCCCAGGCAGCCACCCACCGCCCCAGCCTTGCCAGCAAGCCCTGCTGCTCCCCCGGCTGTTGCAATACATTCGGCCACTCTCACGCCATCTCCTTGTCCTGCACATGGCAGCACCCGACCCGAGCCCTCATCTATGAAAAGTGAACTCCGCACTAGGAGGTGGCAGGACACCAAACAGCTATGAAGAAGCAAGAAGTTTATACAAACGGAGGCATCACAACAATCACGAGTTGGGTGGTGCCCAAGTGGTGACAGGACAGACAACCCGGGCCACACCCACTGGGGAGCTGGTGGGGGCCCCCCGCCGCCCCCGAGTCCAGCTCCAGCTTGGCCTTGAGCAGAACTGTCAGGGAAGCCACAGTGGGAGGGCAGAGGCCCACCCAACCCTGCGGGCCACATCTTCTCTGCTTTGCAACATGTCTGGCCCACACCTAGGTCTCGAAGAGTCCTGGAAACAGGCTTTGGTCTTCCCCCAGCCGCTGCTGTGCCCTCAGCCCGGTGCCCCAGAACACTGGGGACTCAGATCAGACGACCAGAGAGGATGCAGTCTTGACCCCATGGCCTGAGTGCAAGAGAGCTCTACAGGGCTGGCAACTATCTACAAAGCTATGCAGCCACCAGCTGCATGGCAAGCTGCTATGCTACGAGGCACAGCCCAGGGTCAAGGCCATTCCAGGGCCTGGAAAACACCAGGTGTAAAGGCTCCTGCTCCAGGCCATCCTGAGGCCTCCCACGTTCAACAGCATCTCCCAAACACAGCTGATACAGGACCCCACGTGTGTGTACCATTCCAGCCAAGAGCAACACTAGGATGCCTGTGCCATTGCTCACTTTCTCTCTCACACACACTCACACACACACACACACACACACACACACACACACACACACACATACACGTACAGCCGAGAGTCACTCTCCCAGTTACATTCTGCCTGGCCCTCTCTGCAGGGCCACCTCAGGTTCCCATCAGGCCTAGCAGGGCACTCACCAGTCTGTCTTTATGGTGCAAATGAAGAACTGGGAGCCATTGGTGTTGGGGCCTGCGTTGGCCATAGACAGGACACCTGCCAAAACAAGCAGGAGTGAGTCCTCCCGAAGAACATGGGGCAAAACACACAGTGAGGACATGCAGGCATGAAGGACCCCAGGACCCGGAGAACAATCAGGGCCCAAGGACCTGCTCCCCGGGGCATGGGGTCTCAGGGCGGCAGCCTAGGAGGAACAGGGCCCACGCACCTGGCCCCACATGCTTCAGTGTGAAGTTCTCATCGGGAAAGCGGCTCCCGTAGATGGACTTGCCGCCTGTGCCATTGTGGTTGGTGAAGTCGCCGGCCTGCATACAGGACACACACCCTGAGGACTTGTCACGGAGCTGGTGGGGCAGCCGCCCAGCCCACCCAGCTACAAACACACCCCTCCGACTAAGGACGTAACACACACTCAGTGACATAAGGGCACATACGGTAACAAGGAACACCAGCAGTAACAACAGAAAAAGGCATTTAAATAGTTGCTGCTCTATTAACTACGCTGGCTTCCGGTATCCGGGCACAAAAGGACATGAGTTGATTCCTAGGGACCCAGAAAACCTTAGAAGCCAGGGGATAGAGGACAGCCCCTACACAGCCCAGGTCCCGACCCCCAGGCAAGATCCACACACCCCTCCCATGCCTCTGCTACAAAGCACTTTTGAGCATCAGGCAATCTCCATGGTTCATTTGACCCAGATCAATGCCCTGTTCTGGGCGAAGAGGCTGCAAGATCAGACAGGTGCCTTCCTGCCAGAGTCCTGTCTTCCCTCTCCCCGCCCCCACCATCTGTACATTCATTCCCAGGTCACAAGCTCAGGGGACACTCGGGACCCAGATCAGAGATGGACTTCCACGAGCTGCTGAAATCAGGTGGCCCCACCTTCCATGCACAGCTACACCCCAAGCCTGCCTCTCCTTGCCTGCTTCAAGCCACAGCCTAGCTGGCCAAGGGCCAGCCTGCAGCTCTGCCCTGCGGCTTCCAGGGCAGCCTGGACAAGCCATGGCCTCTCAGAGGGAGTGGTATAGAGCAGTGTAGGGAACCATGCTCCTGCTTGTTTGCCCGTGACCTAATGCACCCCTGGCAGCTCCTGCTACCTCCCTCCTGCCCCCTCTCCCGGAGGCCCAGAGCGTACCCCGTTACCTGGCACATGAAGGACGGGATTACCCTGTGAAAGGTAGACCCTCTGTAGCCAAAGCCCTTCTCGCCAGTGCACAGGGCTCGGAAGTTCTCTGAGAAGTGGAGAGAGAGATGCAGATCGAGTCAGCCAGGGCCCAGCGCCAGGCCAGCCCTGTAACAGCCAGTGCCCCGCCGTGCTCCCGGAAAGTCTCTGGCCCACCTCCTGGCTCTGTCTGGCCCTTGTTCGCTGTGTAAGTCCTTGCCCATGACAAGTGCATCTGTTCCCGCTACACTGCACAGCTCAGAGGGGCAGGGAGTCCAGGGCCAGCAGTCCCACTAACCCCACCCCTACCATCACTAGATGGCCAGAGGGAGGCAGTGTCTCCAGGCAACCCACACAAGCTTTCCACCGAGTCTGAGGCTCCCAGCTACTAACCAGAGCCCCACAGCGAAGCCCAGAGAGGTACCCAAGCTGTCCCCAGGAGACCCAGTGGCTGAGGCCCCGGGGCGTATGGTACGGTCTCCAAGCCCCACTCTGCTAAGCAGCCCACACCTGACTCTGCCCAGGCCCCAACTCACCTGCTGTCTTGGGAACCACATCGGCCTTCAGCTGCAGAAAACGAGAAATGATGATTAGGATGGAAGCAAGCAGGAAGTTTTGAGGCACCACAGACACCCACACTGGCCAAAGGGGTGTGCCGGGCCACCACGTGGCCATTCCATTCCTGTTACTGCCCACCCCGTGGGAGGCAGCTGGGCAGCTATCATTCCTGGCAGCTGCTTCCTCAAGCCCAGAGGGAACCCAGGGAATGCAGGGGGGTGCAGGAAATGGCCTCGGGGCCTCATCTGCCCCAAGGGGGTAACACGCCATCCTGGCTCACTTCCTGGGACAGAACCAGCACCCCTGGGCCCAAAGCATCAAGAGACTTGGGGGCGGAGAGCCCGGACACAGCAGATCCAAGCTCCCCAGGGCACAGATGGGAACCAGAAGAGGCCTGGGGGTGGGGGAGGACTTGGGCCAAACCAGCTGCTCAGGTGCTCCCCAATTTCCCAAATAAAGCAAGGCTAAAGACGCACAGTCCGGGGCTTTGGGGAAAGCAGAACGTCACCCATCACTGGTCCCCTCCGTCCACAGAGCAGCCGGAGGCCTTCCTGTGACTTTGACAACTTTTTATGTGGCTTTCCAAAGGGCCACCAGATGGAAGCACAGCAAGTGTCGCGCCTCGACCCCTCTCCAGGAGGACGACAGGGTGCTGCCTGTCCCTCCAAAGGGCCTTGAGGGGTGGCGGGAGCCCCCACTGCTCAGCGCCCCGATCGCCCCACGCCCTCCTCGGAGCTCCGGGTCTGGGCTGGAGGGCCTCAGCCAGCCCCCGCTACCCCAGGCCCTCTGGCTTCTGCCCCACACCTGCCCTCCCTCCGGCCTCCACGGCTCCAGATGAAGCTGCCAGGCACCAGTCCGATGCCCCCTCTCAGAGAGCGGGCAATGGAGGAGGCCCACAGCCCGGAAAGCGGCTGGCCAAGGTCACCCTGCGCGCCAGGCACAGCGGCTCCCAATGGCTCTCCCGCGTCGGCCCCGTCGGGCCGAGCGCTCTCACCTCCAGCACCACGCGGCCGAGCCGCTGCCCGTCAGCGTCCACGTCCAGGTACACCAGCGGGTTCCCCGTGGACGAAGGAGACGAGTCGCGGCCGCCGCTGCAGGCGCGGGCTGCCGGGAGGCGCAGGGGCGCCCAGCGCGGGCCGGGGAGCAGGCCGAGCAGGCGGTGGCTGCAGCGCAGGGCCAGCATGGCAGACGTGGGGGAGCGGGAGGCGGCGGCGAGGGGCGAGGGGCGGAGGGGCGGAGGACGCAGCAGGACACGCAGCAGGACACCCAGCAGGACCCAAAGCAGGGCGCGCGGCCGCGTGCGCTCGGGAAGCCCAGTCCCTGGCTGCCCCGCGCAGGCGCCTTTAAGGACCGCCTGGTCCCGCCCCCTCCGGGCCGCGCACGGGCGACTCCTGCCGGCCGCAGCGAGCAGCGCAGCCGAGTCCTTGGAACACGCCCCCACCGGAAACCAGCAGGTACCGCTTATGTAAGTGAGGGTCCCAGGAAAGTTTGAAAGAAGGAAAGCCTGAAACGTGGCCGACTCTGACAAGCAAGCCCCGGTGAGTTTCTAAGCGAAGTTAATATAACACGAGTCTGCCTTCGGGTTCTGTACACATGGAGGGGCTTCTGATGTCCCTCATGGCTTTGTCCTCGGGAAGAGCCTGGACACATGTCTGAGGGACAGGGCGCACAGCCGGAGACCCAGCACTGGTAGAGGTCAGGAGGAAAGGCCAGGCTCCTGATCACAAACCCGAAGTCCCATCCCAGAGAACCTTGCCACCGGACCGAGCTCTGGCCTTGTGGGTGGCACTGGGGAGCCATGGATGGTGTGAGAGTCACGGGGAGAAAGCTGCAGCTCAGAGGCGGGACTGGTGAGAGGCCAGCAGAGTGGGAGGAAGCAGAGAAGCAGAGACACCTCCCAGGGGAACCACCACCCGCCCTGCCGGTCCTCACCCAGGTGTTTCTGGACAGGCCCCAAGACTGGAAACAGCCTGGGCCAGTCCTGCCTCGGCTGGGCTCCCCGACCCGTCCCACCCCTACAGAACCAGGTCAGTTTCCCTGTCCTGCCTCCTCCCCCTGAGTGACAGCTGTGGTCCTTCCAGCCCAGGTGGAGGCTGGCCGGCCTCCCACCAGCAGTCATGTTGGAACAGAACTCCCAGCAGACCTCAGGGGAAGGAAGGGTGACTGTAGGAGGTGGGGAGGAGGGACAGGGGACACAGCAGGGCAAAGCCTTGACAGTGGCACCCCAGGACCCAGTACAGGATGCAACCCCGCTTTGCCCTCTGTGTCCTGAACTGAGCAGGCCTCAGTGAGAAGCCCACCTGCTCCTTCCTCAGCCAGCCCCCACTTCTGCCCACGCAGGTGGCACAGTTGATCCTGGAGGGAACACCAGCTCAGGAGCCTTGCACTGACACTTGCTAAAGGCCTACTCTGACGCAGCTGTCAGTCACACCAAGAGGAGCAGCAGTGCCTGGCAGCCCCTCAGCCTGCTTGGGGGAGGCCTCGGTTTGCCCCCCTCCCCATGGAACCCAAGCAGCCCTATCCTGGGGACAGGTCAGCCGAGTGTGCCTCCTCACCCCCATAGTGTCCAAGGCAGCCTCACCTCGTAGATGGCCCGAGAGCTGGGAGGAAGGGGAGTGTCCAAGGGCAGAATGTTGGAGCTGGGATCCAGCTAGCTGACTTCAATTTCGGGGGCTACTGCACGCCAGGCTCTCCTCACTGACACCACAGAACTGGAACTCTGGAACTGGGACAGGGTGGGGAGGGCATGAGAGATGAGCTATGGACAGTGGCAGAGCAAGGCAGCATGTGGGGGGTACAGGAAGGGAGATGAGGAGTTCGTGGCACAGGGGGAGTAGGCCTGGGCATGACCGAGTATGAGACACAAAGATGGCAACAGGTGAGCCCAGGACAGGCCAGGGAACCTTCCAGAAAAGCAGTGATGTTGACCATGTTGGGGACAGACTGAGAGCTGTCATTGTGGGTGATCTGTGGTGGGGGACATCCGTGGTGGGGGACCCTGGAATGGGAACCAGCTCCTCCCTTGCTGCCGCACTTTCCACCTTGCTTAGAAAGTCAGGCACCATGTCCACTTCCTGTTGGGGTCCGGGAAGACACCCTCTTGCCTGGACGTTCAGCTCTGACGTCTTCCCTGCTGGCACTGTCCTCAGGGCTTGGGCTGAGCACGCCCAGGTGACATGCAACAGGTGTTAGCTGTGACCTGATGCCTGTTTACAGTGTGTCAGCCTCAGAAACAGCAACATATCTTGCCACTCCGCCCAGGCACTGATGGCTTTGGTCACCCAGGGAACCTGTGACGACACCTTTGGGGAGCAGGCGGGCCGTGCTGGGATCAGATTCAAGTTCAAGGGCTACAAAGTCAGGTGTGTGTGTGGGGGAGCCAGGTAGTGACAATAGCAAGCAAGCTGGTCAGCCACAGGAAGTAGGGGGTAGGTGCCCCGTCCACCTGGCCAAGGCAGGTCCTGGGTCAGAGGGATGGCTGTGCCACCAGGCCAGCTGGTATTGTAGGTGGTTGTGGGTCCAGCCCTGTGGAACAGATCCTCTCATTCTTTTCATGACATGTTAAACACTTGGAGTTTCACACCAATCTAATTTTCAAATGGGAGGAAGTAATGCAGAAATTAAATTAAACGCCAGATTTGCCATTAACACAGCCAGCACCTAGAGGAGACCTCGCACACATGTTCTGATGTCTACTGCACAGAGAGGTGGTAACTGAGGCTCAGAGAGGGACAGGGGCAGCCTTTGGTCACACAGCTGAGTAGAACCAGCCCCTCTCTCCACTATCCTGGGGACCCTGGCTGGAAGGGTTGTTCCAAAGGCAGGGTTCAGAGCACCCACTGTGTGCTGGGCTCAGAGCTTTGCCCTAGAGTCACAGAAGGTCAAGGACAGTAACCAGTACAGGATGGCAGTTTCCAGGAAGCAAGGCTTACCCTGGAGATGCCTGGCAGGAACTGCAGGGAGCAGGAAGCTGATCCACTTGTGAGCATCCATGGGACTTTTGTTTTTTAAAATTGTATTTGCTTGGGCCTGGCACAATGGCTCAATGGCTAAATCCTCCCTCTTGAAAGTGCTAGGATCCCGTATGGGCACTGGTCCACGTCCCAGCTGCTTCACTTCCCATCCAGCTCCCTGCTTGTTGTCTGGGTAAGCAGCAGAGGTTGGCCCAAAGCCTTGGGGCCCTGCATCCATGTGGGAAACCCAATAGAAGCTACTGACTCCTGGCTTTGGATCAGCTCAGCTCCAGACATTGGGACCATTTGGGGAGTGAACCAGCAGATGGAACATCTTTCTGTCCTTCCTTCTCTCCATAAATCTGATAATAAATAAATCTTTTTTTAAAAGAGAGAGTTTAAGAGAGTCATACCGAGGGAGAGGCACAGACAGAGACCATCTTCCATTGACTGGTCCACTTCACAAATGGCCACATCTAGAGCTGAGCCTATCTGAAGCCAGGAGCTTCTTTCTGGTTATCCATGTGGGTGCAGGGGCCATCCTCAGCTGTTTTCCCAGACCATTAGCAGGGAGCTGGATCAGAACTGCAAGCAGCGGGGACACAAACTAGCACCCAAAGGAGATGCTGGTACTGCAGGCTGCAGTGTTACCTACTAAGCCACAGGGTCATCCCCACCAATAAGATCATCACAAAGGCTCGGATCATTGTCAGTGTCTGTCACCAGGTGATATACTTGACCTGCTTGTGTAGACAGGGGTCTTTGACAAAGAAAAAGGCTTGGGTTCCATTGCTGCTGGCCCTGTGTGAGGCCTGGGGGTTCCAAGAGAGTATCTAGCTGACCTAAAGCCCAGGAAAGAGGCTCGTGTGAGAGCAAGCCAGGGACAAGCAAGGCACATAGCACTTAGGTTATCACTTGGAATGGCTGACGCCCTTGTGTGTGTGCTTGGCTTGAGTCCCAGCTAATCTGCTTCCCATCCATCTTCTTGTTGAAGCACACAGAGGCTGGGCCAAGCACCTGAGTTCTTGTTGTCCATATGAAAGACCTGATGAGGTTCTGAGTTCTTGCCTTTAACCAGCCCCATCCCTGACCCTGGCCCCAACTGTTGTGGGCATTTGGGGAGTGAATCGAAAGCTAGAAAATCTCTCTTCTTGCCCATCTCTGAGTGTGTGTGTGTGTGTCAAGCTTCCCAATATAATGGGAATAAAGAAATACGTTTTAAAAGAGTAGTGCCTAATGAAATAGAGTTGTTGAAAACAAGAGAGGCAGATGCCTTGCTCCCTAGAGTGTGGCCCTGTAGTCTCCCCAGGCACTGCACCGGACTAGCTTGCTGGCTTTTAGGATCAAGGCTGTGTGGGCACAGAGAGAGACCCCACGTGAAGATGGGGAAAACGCTCCTTGCAGAGTCCAGCTGGCTTTTGAGAGTCGCCTGTGTGGGTGCTAGGTAGCTGTGGTCCCCTTGGAGGGGAGGCAGCCAGCAAAGCTGGGCAGGGCCAGACAGGATGTGGCTCACCCTGCAGCTGCCAGGCTCTTGCCCAACCTGCCTGTGTGGCCACAGCTTCCAGAAACTCAGCTCCCTTCTGGTTTAGCGTCCTGTGATCAGGGCGGCACTGGAGCTGAGGAAGTTTCCGGAGAAGTTCCCCAAGAGAAAAGAGTTAGGGAGGGCCTGGGAGGAAGGCCTCAGGGGAAGGGGTGACTGCTGTACACATGGAGGCATTCACACACACCTCCACATCTTCACCCCCACCTCTGCCCAGACCTTATCTGAGCTCACTTCTCGAGAGGTGGGGAGGGCGGTGCCATTAAGTGTTTAAAAGGCAGAAAATTTTGGCCTGGGATGATTGTTCAATTGGCTAATCGGCCTCTTGTGAGCGCCAGAGTCCTGTATACGCATCAGTTCGTGTCCTGGCTGCTCCATTTTCTACCCAGCTCCCTGCCTGTGGCCTGGGAAACCAGTAAAGGATGGCCCAAAGTCTTGGGACCCTGCATCCATATGAGAGACCCAGAGGAGGCTCCTGGCTTCAGATCAACTCGGGCCTGGCAGTTGTGGCCATTTGGGGAGTGAATCAGTGGATGGAGGATCTTTTCTCCCTGTCTTTCCTTCTATCCATAAATCTGATCTGCTCTTCCAGTATAAATAAATAAATCTTTTAAAAAAAAGTTTAAAAAATTTTTTAAAGATTAAAAAATATGTTTTTAAAAAAGATTTATTTATTTTTATTGGAAAGGCAGATTTTCAGAGTGAAGGAGATACAGAGACAGAAAGATCTTCCATCTTCTGGTTCACTCCCCAAATGGTCGCAACCACCAGAGTTGA